GGGCTTGTTAGGTGAAGTGGGTGGGGGTCTAGCCCAGGAATGCATAATTGGTGTGGCTGGCCAGGCTTGGAGAAGGTGAGTCAGACACAGGTGGGACCTTTGGCGGTAGGGTCAGACACAAGTAGGTGAGTAGTGTGGGCTCCTATATCAAGGGAAAGCCATAGTCATTGTAGGTGTTTGTACCTGGGTGTGCCTGGTGATGTCTGCAGAGCCTTAAGGATCAGGTGGGGCAGGTATCTGTTCTCAGCACCCTGGTCAGGTATGATAGCGCTCAGGGTATTGCACAGGCCTGAAGATCTGTGTAGTCAGTCCATGGTATTGGCCTGCATCCAAGGTGGCATTGTGTTCCAGATGATGTAGGGTCTGAGTTAAAAGTGAGGAAAGTTGCCAGGTGGGGTGGCTCACACCTGTAATCCCAGCACTTTTGGAGGCTGAGGTGGCTGGATCACCTGAGGTCCGAAATTTGAGACCAGCCTGGTGAAACCCATCTCCTAAAAATACAAAAATAAGCTGGACGTGGTGGTATGTGCCTGTAATCCCAGCTACTCAGTAGGCTGAGGCAGGAGAATTGCTTGAACCTGGGAGGTAGAGATTGCAGTGAGCTGAGATCATGCCACCGCACTCAAGCCTGGGCAATACAGTGAGAGACCCTGTCGCGAAAAAAAAAAAAAAAAAAAAAAAAAAAAAAAAAAAAAAAAGAAAGAAAAAAGAAAAAAAAAAAAAAAAAAAAAAAAGTGAGGAAAAAGTAGATGATGGTTAGATAAGGTGAGGTCTGGGGGACCAGGGCAGGTGAGGCACAGACGTTGAACTGACTGAGGAACTGCATCTATAATGTGTGGAACCAGACGCCACTGCACTTAAAGGTGAGGTCTAGAGACCCATGTCTGCAGGTTGAGGGTTCAGAGGCTCAAGTCAGACACTGCTTGGCATTGCCGGGCTCTTGCAAAACTGGAATCTGAGGACCTTTTCTCAGCCAAGGTAAGCAGCCTGGACTCTTGTCACCCAGAGGGCTGGCTGTGTGCTGAGGTTTAGTTTCTAGAGTTGAGTCCGGGCTGGATGTGGTGGCTCATGCCTGTAATCCCAGAGCTTCAAGAGGCTGAGATAGGAGGACCACTTGAGGCCAGGTGTTCAAAACCTGCCTGGGCAATAGAGCAAGACCCCATCTCTACCAAAAAATTTTAAAAATAGCAAAGCATGGTGGTATGTCCCTGTAGTCCTAGCTACTGGGGAGGGAGGATCACGTGAGCCCAAGAGTGGGTGATAGAGCAAGACTCTGTCTCTTAAAAAAAAAAAAAGAACTGAATCTGTTAGGTCAGTTGTAAGAGCCTGTGTCAAGCATGTTATATTCTGTGGGACTGCATCTGTCAGGTAAGCTTCCTGGAAACTTAGTCTTTCCAAGTGAGTGGATCCACCTGTCATCTCATTGCCCAAGCCAGAAACCTCTCAGCCACACTGGAGAGCTCCCAGAATCAGTCCTCTGCACTCCCCAGTCCATCTCCAGGGCTCCAAAGTGGCTTGTTTGCTTCTGCCCTCACCTTAGCCACAGACTGTTCTCAGTCCTCCCGCCGTGCGTCTCAGCTTCCACCCTGCAGTCCTCACCCCTTCCTTTATCCTCTGGATGGTGTTGTGCTTCCCCCTGCCTCAGTGGGCTTCCAGGAGAGAATTAACCCTCCCTTCCCAAGGCGTCTACTGGATGTAATAAATGGGCACCTATCCTTCATGTCTACAAGGTTATTAGTCTTGGATCATCCTTGGGAGAACTGAGAAGTCAAGTCGCTCAGATCATTTTCTGTGGGGCTTAATTCTCTCACCCTTGAGAAAGGCTGCTCTGACCACAGGACCTTTGCATGTGCTGTTCTGGCTGCTGGAATGCTTCTTCAGTGCTTCCCTGGGTCATGCCTGTTCCTTCTTGAGATCAAGGCTCAAGCACCCCTCAGGTTCCTTTTATAAGTACTATGTTCCATTTCTCCTGAGCACTTGTTTCTCAGTTCCACATTTACTGGCATGATTATTTTCATGTACATCTCTCCCCAAATTCTGCATCCATTGCCTGTGCTAGAAATGTGGGAGGTGCTCCATAAAAACAGCTGTTAGGAAGACGTCCATGAAGTTCTGAGGATTCTGATGGCACCAAGTGGAGCCTGCGGGTGTGGCTTGAGAAGGTGCAGTGTGAACAGTAGGCCTAGGTGTGTCTTGGGGCTGAGAAGGTCAGTCAAGCCCAGGCATGACCCATTGGGCCTGTCACTGTCCCGGAGTTGGGCTGAGGCACAGGTCGGAGGTTCTGGATCTGTCCATATCACCTGAGAAGTTGGGAATGGGCACAGGTACAAAGTGATGAGTCTTCATTGTCCAACAAAGAATGCCTGGCATAGGTATGAGGATCTGGTCTGTCAGTATCTGAGGATGTGGAGCCTGGCACAAGCATGAGGCTCTGGGCCACTGGTGAAGCACGTGGACTGGGGAACAGAAATGTAGCTGTGGGTTTTTAATATCTGAGAAGGCCTGCCAAGAGCAGCTGAGAGCTGCTGGGTCTGTCATTGTCCAAGGAAGCATACCTGAGCACAGGTATGAGACTCAGAAGGTGGGTCCTGGTACTGCTACAGGGCTCTTGGTCTGCCAGTGTCTAAGGAAGTAGGGTCTGGTACAGGTATATGGTGCTGGAAGAGGTATCCAAGGAGGTAGGCTAAGCACAGGTATGACATCTGGGTCTTCCAGTATGTGGGGAGGTAGGATCTGGTACAAGTATGAGGCCCTGGGTCTGCCAGTGTCTGAGGCGGTAACAGCAGGTACAGGTATGAGGATCTAGGTCTTCCCGTGTCTGAGAAGGCAGCACCTGGCATAGGTATGAGGATCTAGGTCTTCCCGTGTCTGAGGAGGGAGCACCTGGTACAGGTATGAGGATCTAGGTCTTCCGGTGTCTGAGGAGGTAGCACCTGGCACAGGTATGAGGATCTAAGTCTTCCCGTGTCTGAGGAGGTAGCACCTGGCACAGGTATGCGGATCTAGGTCTTCCCGTGTCTGAAGAGGTAGCACCTGGCACAGGTATGAGGATCTAGGTCTTCCCGTGTCTGAGAAGGTAGCACCTGGCACAGGTATGAGGATCTAGGTCTTCCCATGTCTGAGGAGGTAGCACCTGGCACAGGTATGAGGATCTAGGTCTTCCTGTGTCTGAGGAGGTAGCACCTGGTACAGATATGAGAATCTAGGTCTTCTCGTGTCTGAGGAGGTAGCACCTGGTACAGATATGAGAATCTAGGTCTTCTTATGTCTGAGAAGGTAGCACCTGGTACAGGTATGAGGATCTAGGTCTTCCGGTGTCTGAGGAGGTAGCACCTGGCACAGGTATGAGGATCTAGGTCTTCCCGTGTCTGAGGAGGTAGCACCTGGCACAGGTATGAGGATCTAGGTCTTCCCGTGTCTGAGGAGGTAGCACCTGGCACAGGTATGCGGATCTAGGTCTTCCCGTGTCTGAGGAGGTAGCACCTGGTACAGATATGAGAATCTAGGTCTTCTCGTGTCTGAGAAGGTAGCACCTGGTACAGGTATGAGGATCTAGGTCTTCCGGTGTCTGAGGAGGTAGCATTTGGCACAGGTATGAGAATCTAGGT